ATAAAAAATGAATCTGTACACTGTCCTTCATAGAAACACTGGAAGTACAGCCTCAAGTGCCGCTGTCTGGGAAACCACTGCAAGCCAGTGGGTGCCACTGGGAGAATGGTCTGCTCCGTGCCTCTGCTTTAAAACGGGGCTTTGCTGCGTGCTTGTCCTGCTGACCAGCAGTGTCTGTCCCTGTGGAGCTCTAGGGCAGGAAAGCTGGGCTGGATACTCAGCGCTCACCAGAGCAGAGGTAGGGGAGCAGTGCAGCACACGGGCATCGTTCTCCCCAGAACCTGTAACCCACGCTGCTCGCTTCCAGTTCTCTCTAAAACAGACCAGCACGCCCGCACACTGTGGTGTCCTCCCAGCCGTGCTTGCCTGCTTCTGTCTTGGTTGGTGTTGTGCGGCGATGTGGTGCCTGACTTGCGCGCGGTGGAAGCGGAGACCCGCAGCCTGCTGCTGCTCGCGGCAGCCAGGAAAGCCGCTCTGTGCCCTGGGCTGCCTCGACCCTCCGTCGCGTGGTAGGGCCGGCAGGCTTTTCCCGAGGGTGCCAGGGACGGCGTAGCCGGGTAGGGGAGGGGAGACAAGCAGAAGGATATGTGATAAATGTGGAGAAATGCTGTGTTGGTCTTTTTTTTTTTTTTTCAATTGAACAGTGGATAAAGACAAATAAGCCTGTTGAGCAAGTCTGTGCACTTACCGCAAGGTTGCCTGGGCAAGGGAGAGAATTTGTGGGAATGGAAGATCAGGTTTAGGGCAGGAGACAGAAACAAGGCGGGGGAAAGCGGGAGGGATGTGTAAGTGCAGGTCATGGCACAGAGGGCAGACAACCGGCTGGCAAAGCAGAAGGCCGCTAGGTAGGGGCCGTTGCGGAGAGACGTGTTTGTACTTGACCCACAGCCCTGCTCTCCGCCCTGGAGCCCGCGCTGGACCAGCCGTGGTGGCGAGGTGGCGGGTGGCAGTCAGTGAGTGGCAGTCAGTAAAGGACTAACTCGCAAAGATATGTAACAGGAGTGTTAGGCATTCAGTAAATTCCTTTGCAAGAGATTTGTGAAGTACTGCTAATTATAGCAAGTTATTTTTAGAAGCTCGTGCTAGCCATCTACTGCTGGCAAGAGGAAAACCCGTGTCAGTGGGTGAAAAATGGCCTTTGTAAGAAGTGTCAGTGTTCCTGAGTCCCCACCACGTCCAGAAAGCCTTCAGGGGCACTGGCGAACAGCTTGCCGTGGGTTAGGCCGAGCACGGTCTGCGTTGTGCCGGGCCATTTTTTGATTTCCTGACGGTAAGCCTCTGCCATTTATGGAGCAGCAGGAGTGCTGTTGTCCTCGCAAGCTGCCTGGTAGGTTTGGGACTACCTAGAAGGCTGACCGGAAGATTGTTTTTTTCCCTCCTCTGAAAAAATCAACATGTTTTTGTCTTCGAGCAGCTGTGGAGTATGTAGGAGTGCTGGGTGAGTCAGGACTCATTACTCACGTTCCCAGTGGCACGGCTGGGCTCAGTCGGGGTAGCTGCGTTGGCTCGGGGTTGAGGTGTTTTGGTGGGACAATGTTTGGGGACTTGATGCAGTTAGTACACGCTGCGTGAGCGCAACGGGTCCGGGGGGAATCCAGACGCTTCGTGTGTCGGCTCGTCAAGCTCTGCTGCAAGCACAGAGAATCCCCTGGAAGCGGTGGGTCGGGCACCGCGTGCAGACCCTCATCTCCGGGTGGACTCCGTCTCCTTCCCGATGCCGCTCCCTGGGAAATTCTTCAGTGGGAGTCGCGAACAATGGGCACATTCTTTTCCCTTCAGGGATCGCAGCCCTCTCGTTTGCGTGCACGAGGAGAAATGGTATTTCATGTTCTGTGTGTCCGTTGCACAGCTCTCCACAAGGAGCAGAAAATGTTTCCTACTGACCAAGCACGGGGAAGAAACGTGGGGGCATCTTCAGCTGTGCATCAGGGTCTGGCAACATTTCCCTGAAAGAAATGGATTTCCAGAGTCCAGGTCCTAGCCCTACAAATTGTCCTTGGCTTAGAATGCTCTTATTTAAGTACAGAATGAACTTTTATTGTCTTTTGTTTGTTTATTTGAAAGAAAAAAAGCATGTGGCTGGTTTTGATATTTCTGTTTTCAAGCTGGAGGAGAAGAAAGCGACGTCCAGAAGCGGAGCTCCTCCTCACCTTCGGTCCGTTTCTTTGCGCTGCCCAGCTCAGAACCGCCTGGGGCTTCCGCGGGGGTCGTCGGAGCTGTGGCTGAGCGGCTCCGTGCAGGGCTCCGTGGGGCGGGCAGGGCAGTTCTTATGATTAAGCCCCTTTAGCATGGCATGGAAACATCTTGCCAACATATTGCACAATTTTTTTGTGGCAGAGTGCTGCAATGCTGGCCTTCAGGATTCCCAGATTCTGCTCCAGGCTATGTGAGTGGTATCTGGTTTCCAGCTCAGGAAAAAGGACAAAAGCAACACAGCCAAGTATAGCTTGGTACGCTCATTCTGAAAAGCAATGTGGCTGGATAAAACTTGTATAACGTTACGTATTTGGAATACAGCCATGGTTAAAGTTGGGCTAAGGCTGTACAGTCTTTTGGTTAGTTATCTGCAAAACCACTGCAGTTACAGTTGCTTTCTGCAGGACAGAAGTGAAACCTCGGTTCAAAAATTAGCGTTACTCTGGAGCTGTGAAGAATAACAGATGGAGCGAGGTTCGGTCGGCGGGGGGATGTTTAGGTGCGAGCAACCTGTGTGAGGGTGCTGGCAGTCTGGTCCTGGCAGACGTGAGGTGTACGCTCTGCCACTGCTCCTCCCCACGGTAGGAGGGGTTTTGTTGCTTTCGGGAGTGTTGATTTCTAACAGTCATGCTGCTTTCTCTCGGCATCTCTGTGGTGCCCGGCGTCACGTTGTGTCCCCGCGGTACTAGGTGAGGCCATCCAAGCACAGCCCTCCTTTCCTGGTGCACAGGGATGCTGGTGGTCCCCGTAGCTGTCGCCAGCGGGCTGTCACCTCACCGGCACCGCTGTTCCCATGCACCTGGGGACGTGGTCTCCTCTCTCGGCTACAGAGGACCATTGCAGTCACCCAGACGGGAACTGGGAGCAGTGCGGCCCTCCTCTGAGGAGTGCCAAGCTAATGAAAGCCGTGCGTGTGTGCCACCTCG